ATTCATGGTTTATTTTATTTATTTATTTATTCATGATCTTTTAGTAGATGAAAGTAAACTCTATTTTTACAAGATTTATCGAATTGTCAATATACTGGCATAATATAATAGCAATAACCCCCGCCGAAGTTGGGTATACCACTTGATATTGCACAATTCACTCCATATATGGAATATCAATATCTCGTGGTATACCCGCCTTCGGCGGGGGTTATTGCTTAAGTATACTACATGTGTAATAGTTACCGGTATTACATATGTTGGTGTAGTGAAACTTAAAAATAGAAGATATAAATTACTGTATAAGAGTTAATATTCACTTGGTTTTAATTTGGCTTATTTCGCTGACTGGAAAATGCGTTAAATTAAAACCCAGTGAATATGTAAAATTTAGCTTAAAACACATTATCTAAATGAAAAAACGTGAATTTAAAACCTACTGAATATGCCTGAAATGCTAAATCAGTGAAATATAAACCCAGTGAAAATTAGTCATTTTAGTAGTGTTCTCCCCAGATAAATTGCAATGAGTATTGGCCAATTTGCATAACAATATAATATAATAATCACCACTATTGTTATGCTAAATTGGCTCTATTGTTAATCAAAAATTGAATAGTTGGGAACTGTAATGCCATGGAAAGATCTGTGTGAGTTCACCAACTTAGATTTCAGATTTTCTAACTTTTGAATTTGTACTTACTTACAGAATTTTGTTGGTTACAATGAATTTGAAGGATTAAAAACAAATAGACCAGCAATATTATCTGTGAGTAAAAATGAGAATGATGAAACAAGATTATTAAAAGATTCCATGTTTAAGTTGATGTCTAGCCCTGCATCCTTCGATGACCTTCTGAAAACATTGACCAGTAAATTTAATCAGTCAGTTCGTGATGAGAAAAGTCTTCTTGAAATTATCAGAATAATTTATGAACTGGTAAGTACATTTTCAAACAATTTCATTTTTACCCTAAAGTAACTGAATAATAATAATAATACAGTTTTATTACACCGTATTGAAATTACAAATTCATTTTTTGGCTGAACGTAATAAAAAGGTAAGGTAAAATGGTAAGTAAAAGTTAAAATTAATTGGACCATTGTTTTTAATATTTTGGTAGTACATGACAGCTTCAATTTGAAATTAAAGGTAGCCTGTCAGTTTCAATGCTACAGCCTATTGTACTACTTCTATTATTAATATTCAAAATGTGCCTGCAATATTCTAACTGAATTATCATGTGTAATACACCTGTTTGTCATAAGAATGCTTTCATTTGCAGAATTCGAAATGTACGCGAGATGTGTAATTTCCTAATAAATTAACTAGGTGTTTGTATAGAATACGTGTTTGTACAATGTAGTTTGGTACTGACCACCATATTGAACATCATACTCATACCAAAAATTGCTATGCAATTGAAACTAACCAATCTCAACAAGAGACCTCAAAATATTACTGAGGAATGCATTGGTTATCAATAGAAGTAGCAAATCCCTTTCAGTTTTTTTTTTCATTTGATCATATAAATTACTGTATGATGAAGGGCAAAAGTTATCCAAAAATTATTAATTAATTAACAAATTGTGTGTACTGATGCTGTCTTGCATGTCTGTTGGTTTGTCTAGTATGTTACGTACAGTAACACTGTGTAAATACACACATTTAGTTGAGCAGAGCACTCTTGGGGGATCTGATCTGACTAGTTTTAATCACTTTAACAATCGTGAGACACAAACATTTAACCAGTCAGTAACAGTGCTGTTTGGTGTCTGAAAAACATTATGGCCGTGACAGTAAATAAATTATGATTTTAACAGATTTTCAAACATCATACCATACCAAGATGTACATTGTAAGTACAAAATTTGCACTGTACAAATGGCATCGCATCACTGGGGAACTATGTCACTATAGGTTACAACTTACTAAAAAAGATCTATTAAGTATTTTCATACTTTAATATGACATTAACATGCTCCAAGTTAGCCCTG